GTGTGTGTGTGAGAGAGAGAGAGAGAGAGAGAGAGAGAGAGAATTTTTTAATATTTATTTTTTAGTTTTTTCGGAGGACACAACATCTTTATTTTTATGTGGTGCTGAGGATTGAACCCAGCGCCTTGCACATGCCAGGAGAGCGTGCTACTGCTTGAGCCACATCCCTAGCCTAATCCCACATGATGAATATTAGGGCCTACTTTTTCTTCTAATAGACACAGAGTCTCTGGTTTAACTCCAAGGTCCTTGATCCATTTTGAGTTAAGTTTTGTGCATGGTGAGAAATAGGGGTTTAATTTTATTTTGTTGCATATGGATTTCCAGTTTCCCAGCATCATTTGTTGAAGATGCTATCTTATCTCTAGAGCATGTTTTTGGCACCTTTGGTCTAATATAAGATAATTGTAATTTTGTGAGTTATTCTCTGTGTCCTCTATTCTGTACCATTGGTCTACCAGTATGTTTTGGTGCCAATACCATGCTATTTTTGTTACTATTGCTCTGTAGTATAGTTTAAGGTCTGGTATAGTGATGCCACCTTCTTCACTCTTCCTGCTAAGGATTGCTTTAGCTATTCTGGGTTTATTATTTTTCCATATGAATTTCATGATTGCTTTTTCTACTTCTATGAGGAATGCCGTTGGGATTTTGATCAGAATTGTATTAAATCTGTATAGTGCTTTTGGTATTATTTTGATAATATTAATTCTGCCTATCCGAGAGCAAGGTAGATCTTTCCATATTCTAAGGTCTTCTTTGATTTCTCTCTTTAGGGTTCTGTAATTTTCATTGTATAGATCTTTCACCTCTTTCATTAAGTTGATTACCAAGTATCTATTTTTTTTAAGGTCATTGTGAATGGGGTAGTTTTCGTCTTTTCCTTCTCAGAGGATTTGTCACTGATATACAGAAATGCCTTTGATTTATGGGTGTTGATTTTATATCCTGCTACTTTGCTGAATTCATTTACTAGTTCTAAAAGTTTTCTGGTGGAGTTTTTTGGTTCTTCTAGGTATAGAATCATATCGTCAGCAAATAGTGCTAATTTAAATTCTTCTTTCTGTATACATATCTCTTTAATTTCTTTCATTTGTCTAATTGCTCTGGCCAGTGTTTCAGGATTATGTTGAATAGAAGTGGTGAAAGGGGGCATCCCTGTCTGTTCCAGTTTTTAGAGGGAATGCCTTCAATTTTTCTCCATTTAGAATGATGTTGGCTTGAGGCTTAGCATAGGTAGCCTTTAGGATGTTATGATATGTTCCTGTTATCCCTAGTTTTTCTAGTGTTTTGAACACAAAGGGTGCTGTATTTTGTCAAATGCTTTTTCTGCATATTTTGAGATGATTATATGATTCTTACCTTTGAGTCTATTGATGTGATAAATTTCATTTATTGATTTCTGTATGTTGAACCAAACTTGCATCCCTGGAATGAATCCCACCTATCATGGTGCACAATCTTTTTGATATGTTTTACTATTCGATTTGCCAGAATTTTATTTTATGTCAATTTTTGCATCTATGTTCATTAGAGATATTGGCCTGAAGTTTTCTTTCTTTGATGTGTCTTTGCTTGCTTTTGCAATCAGGGTGATATTGGCCTCATAGAATGAGTTTGGAATTACTGCCTCTTTTTCTATTTCCTGAAATAAGTTAAAGAGTATTGGTATTAGTTCTTCTTTAAAGATCTTGTAGAACTCGGCTGTGTATCCATCTGGTCCTGAGCTTTTCTTGGTTGGTAATCTTCTGATGGCTTCTTGTGTTGTGGTCAATTTGACTCTTGAACTTGAGAAGAGTTTTGTTTTTTTTTTTATGAACATAGATACACCATTGTTTGGGGCATATATATTTATGATTGTTATGTCTTGTTGGTGTGTGGTTCCCTTGAGCAGTATGTAATGTCCATCTTTATCCCTTTTGATTAACTTTGGCTTGAAGTCTACTCTATTTGATATGAGGGTGGAAACTCCTGCTTGCTTCCACAGTCCATGTGAGTGGTATGATTTTTCCCAACCTTTCACCTTCACTCTGTGTATGTCTTTTACTATCAGATGAGTCTCCTGGAGGCAGTATATTGTTGGGTCTTTTTTTAAAAAATCCAATCTGCTAGCCTATGTCTTTTGATTGGCGAGTTTAAGCCTTTAACATTTAGGGTTATTATTGAGACATGGTTTGTATTTCCAGCCATATTTGTTTATTTTTGTTATTTAACTTGACTTGGTTTTCCTCTTTGATTAGTTTTTCATTTAGTATACTACCTCCCTCTGCTGATTTTCATTGTTGTTTTTCATTTCCTCTTCATGGAATATTTTGCCAAGGATGTTTTGTAGTACCAGTTTTCTATTTATAAATTCTTTTGTTTATCATGGAAGGTTTTTATTTCACTTCAAGTCTAAAGCTTACTTTTGCTGAATACAAGATTCTTGGTTGGCACCATTATCTTGATTCTTTAAACTACTAAAATTATAAAAAAAAAAAAGAAAGAAAAGAAAACTCATCAACATAGAATTCTTTACCTAGCAAAGATACCCTTCAAAAATGAGGTGAGGTAAAATATTTTAGACACATAGGTTGAGAAAGTTCATGGTTGCTAAAACTTCACTATAATATTAAAACAATGTTTCCCAGGCAAAAGGAAAATAACAGATATATAGAAAATAATGAAGAGTATCAAAAATTGTAAATATGTGGATACATATAAATGACTTTTTCTTCCTGTAGTTTCCTTAAAAAGACAGATGATCACCTAAATCAAAAATAATAGCATTGTTAGATGGTTTGTTAATGTAGATAGAAGTAAAAGAAAGAATAGATGCAACAGTAAAAGGATGGGGTAGGGAGAAACAAATTGAATTATATTGTTGTTAGTTTCATATTTGTGAAGTAACATGTCATATGGTAAAATGTGAAGTAGGAAGGATGAAATAGGAAGTAATATGAAGGTCAGATATGAAGTGTGAAATGATATAATATTAACTCTAACTTTGGTAAGTTAAAGGAGGCATATTGTTAGCCCTAGAAAAATTACTGAATAATAATAAAAATAAGGAGTATAGCTAAAGAGCCAATAAATATGAGATAATAAACATTTAAGTTATGCAAAATAAAGCAATAAAGCTACAGAGGAATTAAAAATAGAACAAATAGAAAACAAATAATATGATGAACTTTAAACCAGACATATCAACAATTACATGAAATATAAATGGACTAAATAAATATAAAAGGCCAATGCTGTCAGACTAGATAACATAGGAAGACCTGACATGTGCTGTCTAAGAAATGCACTTTAAAGATAAAAACACAGGGCTGGGGATGTAGTTCGGAGGTAGAGTGCTTGTCTAGCAGGTGTGCAGCCCTGGTTTGATCCCCAGCATAATAAACAGATTGAAAGTTAAAAAAAGGCAGTGCTTAGAGATAAGGTTATGGCTTTAAATGCCTATTACGATACAAATAGAATGCATTATATAGAGTACATAATAACAAAGCATTTTAAGACAACAGAGTACTATTAGAGATATCAGGACATCTCATAGTTAAAAGACTTATCAGAAAGACATAAAGGTTATATATATATATATATAAATGAAGTGGGAAAGTTAATAATACTCTAAATAGAACAATACATTAAACCCACCAATTACAAAATGCACTTTTTTCCAAGTACATAAGGAATATTCACAAAGATAGATCACATGCTGGGTTATAAAATGAATCTCAAAAAATTTCAAAGGGTTAAAATTTTATGGAGTATTTTCTCTGATCACAATAATAAAAATCAAGTAACAATTAGATACCTAGAAAATTCCCAAATTCTTTGAAATTAAACAGCAGACTTCTAAATAATTCATGCATCAAAAAAGAAATGATGAGAGAAATTATAAAATATTTTGAATTCAATAGTAATTAAAATAATGCACATCAAAATGTATGGGATGCATCTAAAGCAGTGCTTAGAGATAAGGTTATGGCTTTAAATGCCTATATAAGTGGGAAAGAAATTGGAATCAGTTATCCAAGTTTTCAACTCCAGAATCTGGAAAAAGAAAAAAAAAGTTAAACTCAAAACAATTAGGAGGAAGTAAATAACAAACATTAGAACAGAAAGCAATTAAATAGAAAAACAAACTAAATGGCATAAAACACATTTTTATTTTTATTTTTTTCTTCCATATTTTTGGTGTATTATAATTACACATAGTAGTGGGATCTGTTGTTACATATTCATACATGGTATGATAAAACAATATAATCTGGTTAATATCATTCCCTAGTATTTCCCCTCCTCCTTCCCCCTGTTCCATTTCCTCTACTTTACAGGTCTCCCTTCAGTTTTTATGAGATTCCCCTTCACGCTTTTCCCTCCTTTTTCCCTCTCTAGCTTCCACATATGTTTATTCATTCATCCACTTATGGACACCTAGGCTAGTTCCACAATTTAGCTATTGTGAATGGTGCTACTATGACTATAGGTATGCATGTACTGTTATAGTACACTGACTTTAATTCTTTAGGATCAATACCGAGGAGTGGTGTAGCTGGGTCATATGGTGGTTCTATACCTAGTCTTTGAGGAGTCTCCGTACTGATTTCCATTTATAATCCTACCAACAGTGTAAAATAAGTATACATGTGATATAACTACACTCTGACTGAAATCATTGCACTGCCCCCCTAATTGTGATCTGATCCATTTCTCAACCATCTCTGCTTCCAAATATTATTATAGTATTCATTTTCCTTCAGTTAATGAATAATTGGTCATAGAGGTAGGATCTGGGGAAAAAAAGAGAGGAAACTGCTCAATTTTAGGAAATTATGGGGCAGAGAGAAAATGATTTGCTGAAATATTGCCATGGCCCAACACATCAGATACACAAAATTCCTTTAGAACTGGGTATCCTAGAAGCAAAGTCAGGAAGTAAGAATAAGAGGAACAGGAGGACATTTTCATGTGGACTTCCAGATGTGCTCACTATTGTTCTTCATATTCCACAGACCCAGAAAAGAGCTGCCAGCCAGTACTGGAGACTCTGCGTCAGGCCATGGATGGCACTGTGTATGCCCACAGCACCTTGGAATTGCAGACACTGCAGCCTATAGTCAACTTCCTTGCCACTGCCACAGTGCCAGGATGCTGTGAGCGCCCACTCTGCCCACGCCTCTCTCGTCTCTTCACAGTGCTGGCCCTAGAGAGCATGACCCAGGCTACCATGCTGAGCAGACATGTGCCTAGCCTCCAAGCCTGGCTTGAGCGCTTCCCCTTTGTGGAGAGAGAGAGTGTTTTGGCAAGAGCCCTGGTCCGGGCCTCAGTAGAGGCCTGGGAGGCTATGTGTAACTCCTTCATGCCTTCACCCCTCCACCCACACTACCACTTCTCTCTGCACTCTGTGAGCCATCTTTTGGGAAGCCTGCAGCTATTGCCTACCAGAATAGGCTCACGGGGTTTCGTAGATTTTCCCAACCACCAGGAGCACTTGCGCCTTGTATCAGGCTTGCGTGGCACTCGCCTAACTACTATGATGGCTATGCGGAGCATGGTGCGTCTTTGGTTACATGAGGCACAGAGAACTTTTTGTGACCGGTTGAACAGCCCTAAGGAACGCTCTTTCTGTGCCAAGCTGCTCCTAGAAGTAGCTCAGAATGTTTTCTGTGGTGGGCCAGGGCCCCAGTACTTGGACAAGGACCTTGAGGAGGAGGAGGAGGAGGAGGAGGAGGAGAGGGTACCTGAAGTGGAATCTGAAGGGGAGTTGGCCCAGTGGGAGGACTTAAGCAATAGTAATAGTGAAACAGATGAGGAAGAGGATCCCTATGGCCTTCAAGCCACAGCAGGCTTACATTCCAGGGAACCAAGTCTAGCACCATCCATAAGGCCAGTACAAAGGGAGATTATAGAAAGCACAAGTCACAAGATACAGCAGGAGGAAAGCAAAAGGGCTTCTCACAATGAGTTCCAGTCAAAGAAATCCAAGAGTTCGTTGCAGAAATCACCCCAGATAGACCTGATTTCACCCCTGTTGTTACCAGTATTACTACTCTGTCCCCAGGAAAAGCCCTCAGATCTGGTCTTCAGTCAAGAGTTGATACTGGGATCCAACTCTGAGAGCCCCAACTTATACCTGGAACGGCAGTGGGAGAGCCTGGAAAAACAGTTGTCCACCTCAGCTGCTCAGCTGGGGCTGAGCCCCCACCTTGCCTGGTGCCACTCCATGGCCCAGCATGTGGCCCGCCTGGTCCGAGTTCTGGCCAAGCCCAGGCAGCATGGCCTATTGCTTTCAGGAACTCTGGGTACTGGGCGCTGTACTGCCATCACTCTGGCCTCTAACATTTGTCAGGCCCGCCTCTTCCATCTGCCATCTAGATCAGAGGAGGAAATTCTCCAGTGTTTGAGAGATGCCAGCTGGCATGCTGGCATATTAAACCAGCCAGTGGTATTACTGGTACCCAAGAGTGTGGATCTCACTACCCTCCATCACCTAGTAGCCCTGGCAACCTCAGGCAGTTTCCCTGACCAGTACACAGATGCAGATCTGGACAATATTGAAGAACATGTACCGATGGAGAACCTTGATATCGAAAACAACACTAAGAAGGGAGTGGCATTGCAGTGGTAAGTCCTAAAGCCCCATACCTGGGTCTGCTCTGCTCTTACTCTGTCCTGCCCAAAAGGCTATAAGGAAATCTATGTGCTATTGTGAAGGCTCTTAAGATGAGGGCTAAGTGGTCAGGATTGGAACTGGGACCCGGTAGAGCAAACGGGATAAGAAGAAGACAGCCGCTGACTGACTCCTGGCCCACAGGTTCTACCAGCAAGTGTGTAGCCACCTGCACATGTTTTTCCTGATGGGAGATTACCAGGCCCACAAGCAGCTGCCCTCTACCCTTTACCTGAGGCTCGTTCAACTAGCCACTGCCAGCATTGACTACTATGAACCCTGGGACCAAACTTCCTTAGTCAGGGTAGCCCAGCACCACCTGGAGGGTGCTCAGAGTCTACCCCTTGATGATGGTGAGCCTTTTTCTTGACCCTACCAGTCATTTCAACTAGGTTCTAATTAGGATTATTACCTAGGCCAGTGTCTGTCTATCTCTGATTCTCATGTGTGTGTGTGTGTGTGTGTGTGTGTGTGTGTGTGTGTTTGTGTGTGTGTTTGTGTGTTTACTGAGCTCCCTTCACATTTTCTAACCTCCTTTCCTGAGCTAGAATAGAAACTCTTACCTTTCCCACTTTCCTATGGGCTTACAAGTCCAGGCTAAAGCCATACCCATTGCAGACTGCTTGAAGTACCCAGATCTCCAGGCCTCTATTTCCAGTGTGGCCAAAGCCATGGCCCTCATCCACCTTTCGGCTGCCTACTACCATGAGCATCTGTGCCCTGCATTGCCACTTGTCACCCCCAAGACTTTCCTAGACCTTCTGGACACCTTCATGCTGCTGCAGCGACAGATGACCCTTAAGTTAAAGAATAGGGCCCAGCGGTAAGTGGCCCCATTCCCTGAAGTTTACCTCCTTATGCCCCTGAAGTCCACTCACTGTGTGGTGCATTGTACCTTCAGAATCTATAATGCCCTAGAGAATCTGAAAAGGCTGATTGAGCAGCACAGTACCCACAACAACCTGGTCTCCATTTTGGAACAGCAGCTAAAAGGCTCTCAGCAGGTAAGAGGGAGAAGACTGTCAGATTCATAAGGTTGTGTTAATGCAGAGTACAAAAGAAAAGTTGGAAGGAACCAATGAGAGTGAAGCTTAGTTCTGATTTCCCTAAAGTCCCTCTTAATTTCTCCAGGTGATCTCTCTAATCCTGACTATCTAATCCTTAAGAACTCTGGCTCAAAAGTTTTATGACACAGCTGAGACTAGATTGATTCTTCATAATACATGAAACTCAAGTGTCTGCTTCTGGTAGCTCCGCGTGTCTTGACTATGTGAAGTTCAGTGTGATCCCAAGATCTCCATATACACTCATGAGGGATTCAGCAGGGATATCAATATCATGGCCACCTCCCACTCTTATCATTTTCCCTTGAATTCACTAGCATTGCTAGTCAGATCATCTCTTGTATTCATCTTTTTTCCTTATACCACTTTGTCCTATACCTCTTTCTTCCAAAAAGCACCAAATATATAAGGCTGTGTATACTAGGGAGATGTGAATGGATGAGGGTAGGTAGTAGGGGAAAATTTACAACATATCAAAGAAACAAGCATATTTAAATATTACACTGTACATCAATATCCTAAATATCCTTACTCACCCTCTACTGGGCGTTTCTCGGTGACCAACTTTTCTATATCACGCCCATCTCCCAACACCTGTACCACATATTATTCACTTAATTTTTCTTTCAAAGTTCCCTGAATACATTTTTTCATGGAATAGAGATTTTTTTCTAGTCCAAACCCCAAATCTTTTCATTTGTTATATAGAACAATCATCTTCTTCCAGCAAATCTGAATAAAACTGGTGGGTCACCAAACCTTATATGGGCAAACTTTGCAGTTAAAGGTATTTTCCCAAACAAAAGAAGTCTTGTTTTGTTTTTAATAAGAGGTATTTTGAAATAACACTTTTCTTCCTACTACGGCATAAGACCTTGAAAAGGTTCAGGGACCACTACAGAGAAGTGAAATAGTGCCCGACTCACAACTGAGTAATCTAATTGGCTTTCAGGCCTTAAAAATCCTAATGCATGGCTCCATATGGCTCTTCCATATGGGTGCCCTCCAAATATCACTTGGGGTTGCACAGCTCGAGAGGCCTGGCTTATATTGTGTCTACCTACATAGTTTCCATAATGCTCTATGAAACTGTGCCACCTGGTATTCTCAAGGTACTGGAATCCTCTTACTATCCACTAGCTAGGATGCCTAGCTTAGATTACACATAAAGATTTATCCAAGTTGTAAAAGAAAGAAAAGAAAGGAAGGGACAAGAGACTACTTCCCCATATTTCCCAAATTCCAGTTTCTTTCTTGTCCTGGGTCCTACTTTTTCCCAAGATGATTCATACTAGGAATTATTATTTTGGTTTAAGAGTACAGGCATTCCTTGATCATCTACATCAGACCACAACACAAGAAGCCCCATATCTAGATAAAAGATATTCATAGTCTCAGGGATCATTCAGAATCAGATGCCTTGGTGTTTTAGTCAGGATTTTTTTTTTGTTCTGTAACTAAAAGATCTGACTATAACAATTGTAGAGGAAGAAAAGTTTAAAATGGTGGTTCACGGTTTCAGAGGTCTTAGTCCACAGAAGACCAGCTCCATTCCTCAGGGCTCTAGGTAAGGCAGAACATCATGGTGGAAGAGTATGGCAGAGAGAAGCAGCTCACATGTTGATCAGGAAGCAAAGAGAGAGGTCTCTGCTTGCCAGATACAAATATATACCCCAAAGCCATGCCCCCACTTTTTCCAGCCACACCCCACCTGCTTCCAGTACCACTCAGTTAATCCCATCAGGGATCAATTCAGAAATCAGGTTAAGGCTCTCATAATCCCATCATTTCTCCTCCAAACCTTGCATTGTTCCATACATGAGCCTTTTGGGGACACCTCACATCCACACCATAACACTTGGTGATTCACTCAACAGCCACAATAGTGTGTAATTTTTCTAATATTCCACATCCTAGGAAATACCCCCACTAGGCACCTAATCATTTAAGCCAAATCCCAGGAGTCATTCTGTGATCTTCCATTTCTTTCTCATCTCATATTCAATTGGCTCATTTGTTCATTACTATATTCAACAAAATTAATCAAAACCTATAATCATTTTGTCTAGGCACTTACTAATATTTACGTATATTTATGTCTACATTTAGATTGATACACAGGTAGACAGACAGATGATAGGTTCCTTGCCACAAGGAATCCAAGATGGCTATTGTTTTTCCATTTTCTGATGAGAAAACAGAGATCCAAAGAGGCTAGAGAAGCTTCCTTAAACTTATAATATCATGATGAGGATTAAATGAGATTTTGCATGTAAAGCCTTTAGAAAGGCTGTCATATAGTCATGACTTAATATGTTTGTTATTATTAATATTAGGTCAGATTGCCTCCTAATAAGAGGAGATAAGACACTGCCCTTGACTTCATGGTGTCTACAGTTTTCCAGAAATATAGATTCATCAAGGAAATATCCAAACAGTATGGTATGACAAAGTCCAGAGGGGGCTGATGTAGTAAGAATTCTAGAGAAAACAGTGTGGTGATATACCTGTAATCCCAGCAACTCAAGAGACTGAGGTAGGAGGATCACAAGTTTAAGACTAGCCTCAGGAACTTAACAAGGCCCTAAACAACTTAGCAAGACCCTATTTAAAAAAACAAACAAACAACAACAACAAAAAACTCTTTTAAAAAAGGGCTAGGGGTGTGGCTTAGGTTCAATCTCTAGTACAAAAAAAAAAAAGAAAGAAAGAAAGAAAGAAAGTACAGTGCCCCCAGAATGGTACTAATGTTGAAGCTTAAAGGCTAGATAAGATTTGGCCATATGTAGAGAGAGGTGGGAAGGAAAAATGTTCCAGGCTAAAGTAACAGCTTGTGTAAAACCCTAGAGGCAAGAGAACATATGCCATTTTGGAGGACCTGAAAATTGGAGTGGCTGGAGAGTAGTATGTTGGGAGAGTTAAAAAGATGAGATTGGAAAAATGAGTAGGTCAAGGTGGTCAAGGTGGCATTGTCAATCAAACAAAGGGAGAGGACACCCCTCATAGGAAGGGACATTTCAGAGGGAGGGGGACGTGTGTTAAAGAACATTATGATGATGAGATTCAGTTTTTAGAAAACCAGTCAGGCTGCAGTGTGGGGAATGAAATAGGGGAGAGAAATAAAAGACCATTCAGGAATTTTGTGCAGGTCAGGAGAGAGATCCTGAATGTGAGTGATGGATGTTTGGGATGGAAATGGACATGAGAGAAATGTTGGAGGTGTAATTGTAAAAGACCTCAAAGAGCCTGGGTTTAGGAGAATAGAGGTAACATCAGAATTCTTCCTTGAGAAATCTGAGCATATTTTGCCACAGTTCTCTGAGAACAAGAATGCAAGGAGAGGTAAGATTGCAGAAGAGCTGAGGCATAACCAATACATTCATTTTGGGCGCATGAGGAATCTGAGGGGCCTGTAAAACATCCAAGGAGAGGTTTCCACTATGAAGATGGGTACACAGTGTAGGGCTTGGCAGTAATATAGCTAAAGAGGAATTTGACAGTATTTAGAATATAATAGAAGCCATGAAATTAGGGATTTAGGAAGAATTTGTCTAAAAGAAAGATCTATCTTCTGTGACAACTGCTGCTAAGGGGTCAAATAAGATAAATAGCATAGCATAATAGTTACATGCTCAGACTTTAGAATCAGATTTTCTTAGCCTGTATGGTAAACAAGTTGCAAGGAAAGCAACTACCTACAGGGGGCTGCATTATCAGATGCCAAGCAGTAAGTGACAGACCAAGAGCTCAGACTCATTCTGTGCCTACTCAGAGTTCAGTTTTGTTATCCTACCATGCCCATGGGGTCTCCCCCTGGCATGTTCCCACACAGCCCAGAATCTGGAGCTACAGGGCCTGATCTCTGTTCACAGAGCCTCATCAAATTTCGGCAGCAGCTAGAGCAAAGCAAGCTCCTGTACAAGCGGCAGATAGCAGAGTGTCGTCATCAGGAGCACCTAATTGAGAACCTAGCCAAGCAGCGAGATTCCCTGCAGTCTCAGTATCAGGCTTTCCTGGAGAAGGTATGTTTTTCCTGCCATGTGCCCTCTACTTGTCTTTGCTTGGGAGAGGATAGCCCCTAACAGGATGCTCAGTGGAAGGGTTGGGGAGACTCATGATGGAGTCTCCAGGGGGAAGGGGGCAAAGGTTATCTTGGGGAGTGCCCTTCATGAGAACTCCTAGGAGAAAATTAAAAAACATCTTGAAAGGGAAGCTCATCTCTCAGAAGCTCGCTTCAGCAGGCACCTCTCCTCATGTAGATGGGCAAGGCATTTCTAGGTCCTCTGAGTCAGCTGCAGGTGGCTGACTTTGAGGAGATAAGGAGCTATCGAGCACCACCAGAATCTGTAGTCCGGGTGACTGATGCATTGTGTGAACTGTTCCACCATGAAACAGGCTGGACCAATGCCAAGCAACTTTTATGCACTGAAGATTTCTATCAGGTAGGGATAATGAAGGAACAGACGGGAGATAGACTTGGCAGGGATAGACTTTTGGGTCAAGGTCCAGAGCATCCATGTCTTCCCCTCTACCCTGAACACACTTCCTCCTAGGAGCTGGTATTCTTCCCCAAGGAGAAGATGAAAGACTCAGAGCTGATAAAATTAGAACAAACTCTGAAGGATCCAGGCATGAGTGATGCAGCTCTGAGGGCAGTAAGCATACCCACAGCAAACCTGGCGATCTGGCTCCGGGCTGTTCTACGTTATGGACTGGCACAGCGCCGGGGTGTGCCCACGGGCCTGCTGCTGAGGCAGGTGGAGGCAACACTGGCTCGGGAGCAGGCCCGCTTAGGCCAATTCCAGTTTCAAGCCCAGGACATGCTGGAGAATATTTTGGCCCTGACTAAGAAGATAGAGGATGCCCAGATTTCCCACAGCCATGTGGTACAGACTCTCAATCAGGCACAATGTGGCCAGTATCACAAATGGCCCATAAAGTCTACACTGCTCACACCCATGAACAACTGGTGTGCACAGCTCCAGGTAACCAACCCTCTCCCATATGTCTTCTTCCTTGTTCATTTCACACCCTGCCACCCTATGCCCTAACTGCTTCCTGCCCCACCTTCCTTGCTTTCCTCCATACCTCTCCTCGCTTGGCCTAAACACCCTCTGGTCTTCCCTTCACGCCAGAAGTTGAGGGGACATTGCAAGACTATGTTTGGAGATGCCCTCCTGTGTTCTGCTGCCATCACCTATTTAGGTCCCTTCCCACCTCTCCGTCGCCAAGAGCTACTGGACAAGTGGCTGGCTCTGTGTAGGGGCTATCAGGAGACCCTGGGTCCAGATGATGTGGCACAGGCACTGAAGCAGAAGCAGAAATCTGTCATCATGCCTCAAAAAAAACCCCTATTGCCCACATGCTCTCCCTTCAGTATTCTGTCACTGCTAAGCTGTGAATCTGAACAGTATCAGTGGGACCGAGACCTGAAGCCCCAGGCAAAGTCAGCCCACTTGGCAGGCCTGCTTCTGGGGAGTTCCACTCACTACTATAGTTGCCGTTGGCCTCTGCTGCTTGACCCCAGCAATGAGGCACTCATCTGGTTGAACCCACTACCTCTGGAAGATAAAAGATGCTTGGCACAAGCCCCCACTGAGCACAGAGGTAAGGCAGAGACAATAATACATGCTTCTGGGATATCTGAACTGCCCAACCCTCTGAGCCTTATGTTATCTTCCCTTGCTAGAATATCCCAGATTTTATCAGCCTATGCTATATATATTTTTTTGGTTCATATTGCAATGAAGACCAATTCATGGTCTTCCACTTCTCAGGTTTCTTTGGCACTATTAGAAACCTTGCCCTCACCCCAGAGTTTTAGTACTCAGATTTGTTCAAAAATTCTAGAAGAACATTTTTATTGATTCTGTTTAGATTAGGAATCACATCTGGGTGGGGTGTTGGAAGGAAAATTTGCTAGAAGGAAGAGGGGATGTTTTATCTCCCAGAAAATGGAGTTGGTGTGCTGCATTAGTGAGGAAAAAATATGTGAACTCTTGGAAAAAGGTTCTTTAAAGATGTCATGAGGGCTGGGGCTGGGGCTCAGTGGTAGAGCACTTGCCTAGCATGTGTGAGGCCCTGGGTTCAATCCTCAGCACCACATAAAAATAAATACAATAAAGGTACTGTGTTCAACTACAACTAAAAAATAAAATGAAAAAAAAGATGTCATCAACTTCTGAACCTTGAAATAATATCACCCTGCTCTTTATATGAGTGGGCTCTAAATCCCATGACAAGCATCTTATAAAATACAGAAAAAAAGATATACACAAAAGAGAAGTCCATGTGAAAAGGGAGACCAAGATTGGAGCTTTTTGGCCACTAGCTAAGGAGAGTCTGGAACCACCAGAGGATGGAAAAAGGCAAAGAAGGCTCCTCTTTAGAACCTTGGCAGAAGTATATCCTGCTGAAACCTTGATTGCAGACTTCTGGTTTTCACAACCATGAGAAAACTAGTTTCTGTTGTTTAAGCTACCAAGTTTGTGGTAATTTGTTACTGTAGTCCTGGAAACTAATACACAATATATCATGCAAGGTATCATCTGTCCTTCCAAGTATCATGTCAGAGTTGCTGCTGATTTTCAGAAATATGAAGAGCCAAATGTGATAGGCAGAATTTTGATCTCTGTGACCTTTGTCTTTTGATGTTATTTCCAGGATTATGTTATGTTACATAAAAAAGAGTTTGAAGAGTTGATTAAAATTACTAATCATTTGGCATTAAGATAGAGATATTATCCCAGATTATCTAGATGAGCCCAGTATAATCAAATGAGGCCTTCAGAGCAGAAAGGAAGAAAGAAAACAGTCAGATTTGAAACACAAGAAGGATTCAATGAACTGTTGCTAGCTCAAAGATAGTGGGGGCTACAGGGCAAGTGTGAGAAATTAGAATAGTGTGTGAAAGAATAGGTAGGCATGGGGCATGTATCTGAAGTTTCAGCTACTTGAGAGATTGAGGCAGGAGGATCACTTGAACCTAAGAGTTCAAAACCATCCTGGGCAACACAGCAAGATCCCATCTCAAAACAAACAAATAAACAAACAAACAAACAAATAAAAAACAGCCTAGAAAAGGACCTCAAGCTCCAGATGAGATGGGAAGCCCCATCTGACACTTTGATTTTAGCCCAGTGTAGCCCTGTGCAGAAAATCCAGCCATGCTGTGGGTTAATGGGTTGAATAGGTGAGACTGCTCACCTATAGAAGGGTAGAGAATAAACTGGTGTTATTTCAAGCTGCTAATTTTGTGGTAATCTGTTAGCAATAAAAAAAAATGAATGCACTGAACTATAGATCTGGCAAAGAGAATCAGTTTGGCCCAGGAATTATCTGGGCAGCATAGCAAGGGGTCAAGGGAGTTGGGAATGGTTGTTGATTAGCCAACTATCTGTGTTTACCACACCACCCATGATTTAGCTAATTCCACAGTTTACAGACTTTCACTTACAAGTTACTACTTCCAGGTACTGATTTCCAAATTAGTGAGGATTCTTTAAGTTGTTAGTACCAGAATTATCTCAAGTTAAAAAAAGCAGGGAGCAGGGGAGGCACTGACTCTTCTAACCAACCTATAGAAAGGGCAGAAATGGAGCCAATTTCAGAGATGACTAATTCCCTCCCTTAATTTTAAAGTAATAATAATAATAAGCAACATTTATCGAGCACTTACTAGGCACCTGCCTAGGTGTTTTCTATGTGTCATTGTATTTAATCTTCATGGTAATCCTATGAGGTCATCACTAATATCAATTCCATTTTGTTGATGAGGAAACTGAGTCACAGAGCTTAAACAGCTTTCCTAAAGTGTCTTACTTCCCTCATGGAATGGAGTCCTTGGATGAATAGTGCTCCACCAGAGTCCAAATCCTCCTCTCAGAAATGTTTCTGTGCATCTTTCTGTCACAGGGAAGAGTCTAATGACAAGTCAAGAGAGAGAGAATAAAAATGAGGATGTAGAAGAAGATAATGATTGTGACGAGAGGAATAAGGCTAAAGAACAAACCGAAGAGCAGAAGGCAGAAGAAAGTAAAAATGAGGAACAGGAGAAAGAGCAAGAGCAAGGGGAGAAAGAAGAAGAAGAGAAAAAGAACAAGGCAGAGAAACACGAGTCCAGCCTAGCCTCAGAAACTCAGTCTTCACCTCGTCTCTGCTTTAATGTGCTCTCAGGTGCTAACCCAGAGTTGGGTCCTCAGCTTTTGGAGGCAGCTGCCAGTGGTAAGAACTGATGCCCACCCACCATTACCCCCTCTTGTCCTCCCCTGATTCTGTGACCCCATATACCTCTCACATCTCAGTCTGACTTCAGTTCCCATCCTTCATCCCATTATGTTGAAAAATCTCAAAGGAACCCTATTTGTTGGAGGATAGCTGCTCAGGGTCAGCTCTTGTGGGTACCATGGGTGCTGGCATTGTGGGTGGGTTGTCCTTGCTTCCCCTCACAGGCCTCCCTGTGCTTCTGACCAACATGGAGCTGGGCCTATGGTGCCAAGAACTACAATGGCTGCTTCAGCGGGAGAAGCTGAGTCTACCCAAGGTGCAGCCTGGCTTCTGTCTCTATCTGAGCACTACCCTCCCACTCTGTGCTTTGGAAAAAGGTGAGACCCAGAGGGCACATTGCTAGCACAGTTTTGTGGGCACACTAGGATCCCAGGACCAGTATTTAGAGGGCTTGACTCAACCTGAGCAGGCTCAGAATGTAGTAAGGAGCCACACCCCTTGTCTGCCCCCTCCTTGGCTCTGCCAAGGGTGAGGGTTTAAGCACATTCCATGTGACTCCAAGTGCTAGGTTATGAACTGCTAAAGGGGCTGAATGTCCTGGATTTGTCCCTGAACATGGAAATACTAGAAGAACAGATGCTGCATGAAATCTTGTGCAGGGAGCATCCTGAGCTTGAGACCCGCTGGCAGGACATAAAAATCAGAGCCCTGGATGCCTGTGAAGATGTGGAGGCTGCTGAGGTGCCTGGGGATCCAGTCTGTGGGATAGGATAAGCACTGGAAGGGCCTGGGTGTAGAGGTGGAGATGAATGTAGATATTTGGGGACTGTGGGAAAGGGCCAGATCCACCTAACAAATTACTATATACAGGAGCGGTTGCTGACGATGATGCTGATGCAGAAACAAACCCCTCAGAAACCAGCTAAGTTTCTGCGGGATATGGTGAGGTCCCAGGCAGAGATATGTCAACTGCGTGCTCATTGTGAGGAGCTAGAAGGACAAAAACTGAAGGAGATGGAATTGTGGGTATCCTACCAGCATGTAGTTAGACATGGAATGGCCTTAGTGAATGCCCTAAGCCCACTGCAGAACTTGTTCCCATTTTTCCGGATGAAACCAAAGGACTGGCTGGTGGTCACAAAGAAAGCTCTAGACAGCATGAAGCCACATGATATAAAGCAAGGGGAGGACCTGGCCAGCCATCTACTGCAGATAAAAATACACCTGACCCACCAGCTGCTGGGCAGCACTGTGGCTTCACTAGGCCTGACCCAAGTACCCTTGGTGGGTACCTTGGGTGCTTTGGCTCTGCTGCATGTGACAAGGAAGGCATCAAAGCTAGAAAGCTTGGCACTCTGGCCTGGACTGGCAACCTCTGCCAGCACTGAATACAGTAAGCCAGACCCAGGTGTGGTTCGGCCAGCCTGGCTAGGGCCAAGAGCCTGGCAAGAATGTGGGATGTTGGAGCTGCTGCCTCCATTTGTTGGGCTGCGTGCATCCCTAGCAGGCCACTCCGATATTTGGCAGGAATACCTGTCGCTATCATCCACAGTGCTGGGTCCTGCACCTGGGCCAGGTCCTGAGCCACTCAGCCTCATCCAGAAGCTGATCCTGTGGCGTGTGCTGCGACCTGACTGTCTGGCAGGTGCTTTGGCAGACTTCACCACCAGTCTCCTGGGGAGGCCCCTGGATGAAAATCTGGCTGCTCACACCATGCCCCTTGAACAGAGTCAGGCTACTCAGCCCATACTGATCTTATTGCCTTCGACTGGCCACCCCACAGCCATCCTGCATCCTCTGACTGTCATCCAGAAATTGGCTGCTGAGCATGAACAGGTTTGGACCTAGTCTTTTGGTCACAGAGTGACTGGGCCTCTGGGGGCTGGGAGAAGGTGTGGATGCCCTCTCTCAGCATTCTCATGGATCTTTCTATATTACTGAGGTACTTTTTGGATCATTGTGGTATTACTTTGAGTCTCTTGGGTTGCCTTGGGATTGCTTTGAGTCATTCTTCTGTCTCTATTTATCTCCAGGGGCAGAAACACCTGCAAGTGATAGCCCTGGGCTCTGAAGTTTGGGACCCAGTCTCAATTGTGGTCAACACTCTATGCCAAGCCATGTTGGAGGGGTACTGGCTGGTGCTGGATAACTGTCATCTGGTGCCCCACTGGCCAAGAGAGCTGATCCAACTCTTGCTGCAGCTGATAGGCAGAGCCAAAGGTGAGTTTGTTGCCTAGAAATGGCTTTCAGGACCACACCCTAACTTGGGCTACAACTTGAACTCTCAAGTTCACTGTCAAATTTCCTAGGTCCAGGCCTGTGCTCTTAGCCATGTGTCTGACTCCTGATTCCTCAGTCTCTAATCTGATCCCTAGACTTGTGTCTGACCCAATACCTAATGACTGATCTCAATCCCTTGTCTAACTCTAGTAGTTTCAGAGATGGAATTGAAACTGCTTTCAACCCAACCTGAAAGAAGGAATGTGGTTACTGTCCACCAAGATTTCCGTCTTTGGCTTATTGTTTCTGCAGAGGCAACTGCTTCCTTGCCAGGTAAGGAGTATCCCCCAACGGTCTCAAATTAGAAAGGGGAGGGCAATTCTGCTGTGCTGACTCAGCACTCTTCTTCCTCTCCAGCTGTGCTGACTCAACACTGCATGCCTGTTTTCTGGGACCAATCCCTGGAATTGGGCCGCATCTTGATTGACAGTATGGAGTTAGCACAGCAAGGACTCTACATGCAACCTTTTGACCAGGCACTATCTCTGCTCCTCCTACATGGCCTCCTGCTACACCGACAGCTCTATGGAATGAAGTTGCAGGCACACAGGGGGCTCTGGTGAGGAACTCACTTATGCTGTTGAGTCAGTCACTCAGAAAACACTGAGTATCTTCTTCACACTAGGTTGAGTAAAACTAATTCATCTGCCAAAGAATGAAGGAAAGAGGAATTCTAGGAAGGCTTCTCTGAGGACTTTTAGGATCTCACTTTAAATTGAATCTTAAAAGTTGAGGCAAATCAGAGCCTTTCTGAACAGAGGGAACTAAGTTCAACAGAAAGTGATTTCAGTATAGTTGAGGTTAACCTGCTGGGTATTGAGTAGGGAGAGGCCAGGCTCATCACAAAGGACCTTTAAGACCATAGCAAAGGGATCTGATGTTATCCTAAGAATAGTGAGAAGCCACTGAAGGTATTAAAGTAGAAGAAAGAATGTGATCATGTTTGTCTGTTGGAAAGACCACTGGTTGCAGTGTGGAAAGTGGAACAGAGGAGGTGGTATTAGAAGCAAACAGAATAGTTTGGGGAGGTTCTACTAGTCTCCAGGGAAAAAATCATAGTAAGGTTTGTAGGGACTAGGGTGGTAGTCACAGTAGAAATAGAGAATAAATTGAGGATGAGGAAGAAGGAGTCAGGAATGAATTCCAGATTTCTGACTTAGACAGTTGGGCAGCTGGTGATACCTCACACTGGGATATACGATAGAAATGAGAAACACGTTTCATGAGGGAATATGATGACTTTGGTTGAAAGCAAGTTGTATTCAACATGCCAAGTGATAATGACTAGTAAACCCTCATGAGCCTGGAGCTCAGAAGATAAGTTTAGGCAGGAAAAAAGACTTGAGGCTCTGAAGCATATTGGTGATATTTGAAATCTGACTTCCTGTTCCCCTCCTTCAGGAGTCAAGTGACTCTGATAAAGGCCCTTAAGACCCAAGAGCAGTTGTGGACCAGTCTCAGCAATCCCAGTACTGCCATGCAGGAGCTCACTGGTGAGACCCTTCCTGTCCTCCATGCAGCCATCTGCCACCAGGAGAGCCTGGAAAAGGGTGGGGGTGGGAGTTTTGAGACTGGGACCTAATTTACAACTTTGGTTTGGGGAAGGGTTGTGGGAACTGGAAGGGCTGGAACTAAGGGTTCCATTTTCAGCTTCAGTTTTCTATGGGGGACCTGTGAGGGACACTAAGGACAGAGAGGTCTTAATTAGCCTCACAGAAGCCTGCCTGAGCTTCAGCAGCAAGAGTTGGGTCCAACCACACACACCTCAGTATCTGCTGGCCACTGTGATGCCCAGCTCAGGTAAGCTCCAGTCAATAAATATCTGTTTGGGGGCCAGAAATAGTGCAGTGAAATGCCATCCCCACAGGAATGTGGATGGTGGTGCCAGGAGATACACAAAGGGGCAAAATTCACATAGTTATAGGGATGATAGCATAAGGGATCAAAGGAAGGCCTACTTCCTTGGGAGTGGGGTGTGGAGTCCGTCTTATTCCTTACCCCTCACTTCTATCTCCAAGAACTAGAGAAGCTAAATGCTATTGCAGAGTGCAAGGCCCAGATGCATCTACTGCTCATACCGTCGGACCCTCGGATCTCTGGACTAAGTGAGGGCCCCCAGGCATGGTTGGTACGCCGCAAGAGTCATGCTATCCTGAGGGCCCTGCAGCATAGTTTACCCTGGTGGGTTCCTAACACTCAAGGATGCCCTTGGCGTGCAGAAAGGCGGTTGCTTCAACGCCTAGTACAAGCCAAACGCAGGCTGGAGTCATTGCAAGCCTTACTGACCGACCACACTGGTCTAGGGAAGTCTCCCCTAAGGGCAGTGCTGGGGCCAAAGGCTCGGCCTCCAGTGGAAGGCTTCCTAGAGAATGAAGTGATGGAACTGAGTCAACTGGTGGGCATTTTACAAAATGACCTTGACTGCCTATTGGGGCAGCTAAAGGGCAAACCCCCTTGCACCTCCTACCGCTGTGCTGCGGTGGCCCAAGCTCTCTGGACTGGCCACCTACCCCAACCTTGGCGACCCCATGCACCCGCTGGTCAGCAGCCACCCTGGCAATGGCTGCGACAGCAGTCACGTCGTGGACAGCAATTAATTCGCTACCTGGATGCAGGCAGAGTTGCAGACGCAGACACTAGAGTACCAGGGCGCATCTTTCATCTGTCAGCCTTTAGCCACCCACGCCGCCTGCTGCTGGCACTGCGTTGGGAGGCTGTCCTGCAGCAGCAGGTGCCCAGCTCGAATCTTTCTGGCAGCCAAGGCCCCAGTCATCTCTCACGTAAACGTCAGAAGCTGAACAACAATCCTCTGTGCCTCCGGGTACCTTAGCATCCCTTCAGTTCCCCATTCCGTCCCCTTAAAGTCCCTGATTATACCCCATCCTGTTGGTAATCTTTCCCCTCAGTAACCCTAATCATCTCTCCAATCTCACTTTACTATGACACAGCCCCCCACCCTGTTATCTTTCTAGTCTGCCTAACCAGCTCTTGGCACCCCCAGGTGGAGAATGGCCCAAATCCCAAGGTTCCACAGACAGGCCTACTACTGATTGGGCTACAGCTCCTGCATGCCGAGTGGGACCCAATAGATGGGGCTCTGCAGGACAGTTCTTCCAGCCAGCCCAGCCTTCTGCCTCCTGTCAGCGTCACTGCACAGGCTGGGTACATTGATGACCTGCCAGTCCCAGCTGGCCTGGCTGTGTACTCCTGCCCTGTGTACATGGCCGGGCCCCTTGGTTCCACTAAGCTACACAGCAGGAACATCCTGATGCACCTGCCCTTACCCACGAAACTCAGCCTTGCTACCTGTATCCAACGGAGAGTCCATGTGTGCAGCCCACCCTTGACTTGAGCCCTCCACCAAAATAAAGCTACAGTGATTACATGAATGATTTCTAGGACTTGGAAAGATAGTGATGTATACACAGAAGGTAAAATGTTACACACTGAGAGAAAAATACAGTGTGTACAATTGAAGCTATGGAGGAGGCATTGTGTGGCAATAGGGGAGAGGAGAGTGGTGGGCACACTCTGAAGAGAGGGGCCAGGTGATAGCCATGTATCTGAGGAGTTAGACAAATCTGGCAACTGCTAACACACAGAACCCTTGTCTGGGTAGCTCTCTGCTGTGGTCTCAGCTAAATTCCCAAGGGATATTTTTGAAGGGAGAATATTAAAACTCAAAATCCTTTTTAAAGGCATTTAGTGGTATTATTGGAAATGTCCCAGTCCTACCCTACCATCCACACCACATCACCCACAAAGGATTCTCTGAGTGAATCATACACATGAAAAACAAAAGCCAAATAAAATACAAGACCCTATGTTCATTTAACAATTATTTATTGAGCACTCTTTCATATCAAGTATTGTTCTGGGTGCAGATGAGGTGGTTCTATTGTAAGGGCAACAGGCAATAAAAGGTAAACATATAAACAAGAACAAAAAAATTTTTTTGCAGTACTGGGGGTTGAACCCAGGGGCACTCTACCACTGAGCCACATCCCCAGGCTTGTTTATTTTTATTTTTTTGGTACTAGGAATGGAATCCTGGGGTACTTAACTGTGGAGCCCATATCTCCAGCTCTTTTTAATATTTTATTTAGAGATAGGGTCTCACTAAGTTGCTTAAGGCCTTGCTAAGTTGCTGAGGCTAGCTTTGAACTTGCAATCCTCCTGCCTCAGCCTCCCAAACCACTGGGATTAATGGTGTGTACCACCACACCTGGCTCCCAGCCTTTTTTGAGTCAAGGTTTCTCTAAATAGCCCCAACTTGCCTTGAACTTGTTAGCCTCCTGAGTTACTGGAATTACAGTTATGTGTCCCCATGCCCAGCATATAAAGAAAACCAAATAGGTTGATGTGCTATAGAATGACTAGAAGGGAGTAGTTAATATAGTTTGAGTGGACAGAACAGGTTCCTGAATATTTGAGCATGAGCTACTTGGAAGATTTAGAAGGAATATTCAGATAAAACCCTCAATAGAACTGAACATAAAGCGAGAGCATGGTGAGTAAGGAGTAAAGTGATCTGAAGTTATAAAAAGGCATAGAAAGGGGTAGATCACATGGTCATGGAAATGAGCTTGTATTTTTTCAAAAGCACAATGAAAATCTATTGGAAAGCAGTATGTAGGAGACGACACCTAATTTGCATTTTTCAAGTCAGTCTGGCTGTTCTACGGTGGATTGATGGTAGAAAAGCCAGAGTATCAAGAGGAAGATGTATTTGGGTCCAATTGAGATAATTCAGGGAAGGGATGATGAAGCGTGGACTAGGATGAAGCGGAGATGGGAGAATTAACAGATTTAAGACATATTCTGGCCAAGTGTGGGTGGTGGCATATACTTGTAATTCTAGTGACTCTGGAGGCTGAGGTAGGATAATTCTAGTGACTCTGGAGGCTGAGGTAGGATAATTCTAGTGACTCTGGAGGTTGAGGTAGGAGGATTGCAAGTTGGAAGCCAACCTCAGCAATTTACACCCTGTCTCAAAAAATAAGGGCTGGGGATGTAGGCCAGCAGTAAAGCATCCCTGGGTTCAATTTCCACTACCAAAACCCAACAAAACTCTGAAGGAAATCCGTAGGACTGATGGATCAGATGCAGATAGTAAAGGGAGAAGAAGAATCTGGGATGACTCCCAGATTTGAGGTAAACAAGCAACTGGGTTGATCATGGTATTATTAGCCAAGATAGAAAATTTGACTGAGCAAGAAGTTGGAGATAAGGAATCAAGAGTCCAAGATCTTTGATCAGTATTAGTTGTGTAATTGCATGCTATCCCAGGGCAAGCCTGTCTGGTAAGCCTTACCGTAGAGTATGGCAGAGCTAAAGGCTTACATGACTTTCTCTCCTTGAACCCAGACACCAAAATTTAATATGTGCAACTTAGCTTCCTCAATTCATTGCTAGGTTTCAACTCCAGGGTGGGAGGAAATGCAAGCATAAGTACAAACAAAGTATCTCACAGTTGACTGAGGTGCAAGTAATGTCCTTTAATAAACCATAGGCAGAGAGGCAAATGCTCCCACTTTTTTTCAGAAACCCATTTCCTTTTATATATATATATACACACACACACATAGGTTATTCAAAACATTACAAAGATTGCAGAATCACATCGGTTACACATCCACATTTTTACATAATGCCATAATAGTAACTGTTGTATTCTGCTACCTTTCCTATCCTCTACTATTCCCCCTCCCCTCCCCTCCCATCTTCTCTCTCTAACCCCATCTACTGTAATTCATTTCTCTCCTTATTTTTTCCCATTCCCCTCACAACCTCTTATATGTAATTTTGTATAACAATGAGGGTCTCCTACCATGTCCATTCGATTTCCCTTTTCTCTCCCTTTCCCTCCCACCTCATGACTCTGTTTAATGTTAATCTTTTCCTCCTGCTCTTCCTCCCTGCTCTGTTCTTAGTTGTTCTCATTATATCAAGGAAGACATTTGGCATTTGTTTTTTAGGGATTGGCTAGCTTCACTTAGCATAATCTGCTCTAATGCCATCCATTTCCCTGCAAATTCCATGATTTTGTCATTTCTTAGTGCTGCGTAGTACTCCATTGTTTATAAATGCCACATTTTTTTATCCATTCATCTATTGAGGGGCATCGGGGTTGGTTCCACAATCTAGCTATTATGAATTGTGCTGCTATGAACATCGATGTGGCAGTATCCCTGTAGTACGCTTTTTTAAGGTCTTCAGGGAATAGTCCGAGAAGGGCAATAGCTGGGTCAAATGGTGGTTCCATTCCCAACTTTCCCAGGAATCTCCATACTGCTTTCCATATTGGCCGCACCAATTTGCAGTCCCACCAGCAATGTACAAGAGTACCCTTTTCCCCACATCCTCGCCAGCACTTGTTGTTGTTTGACTTCATAATGGCTGCCAGTCTTACTGGAGTGAGATGGTATCTTAGGGTGGTTTTGATTTGCATTTCTCTGACTGCTAGAGATGGTGAGCATTTTTTCATGTACTTGTTGATTGATTGTATGTCCTCCTCTGAGAAGTGTCTGTTCAGGTCTTTGGCCCATTTGTTGATTGGGTTATTTGTTTTCTTCTTGTTGAATTTTTTAAGAGAAGTATATGATTTAGCTTCTAAGTATTTGGAAATTTTCTATAATTTGATTTCATTGTGATCAGAGAACATGCTCTATTTGATTTCAATTCTTTTAAAACCATTAAGATTGGTTTTGTGGGCCATGCTATAATCTATCTTGGTAGATATTCCATAGTATTTGGAAAGAATGGTGTTGTGTTGCTTCGAGGTTTTTATAAATGATGATTAGATCTTGTGGGTTGGTGATGGTGTTTAGTTCTATATACTTGCTGGTTTTCTAGTTGTTTTATCAATTGCTGAGAGAGGGGTGCTAAAGTCTTCAACTATAATTGTTTCACATTGCACACTCTGTTGTCTGGTATACACAATTTAAGATTACTGTCTTCTTGGTGGATTGACCCTTTTAACGTTATAAAAATGTCCCTCTTTGTCTCTCTCAAATTTCTTTCCTCTGAAATCTATCTGATATTAATAGAGCCACTTTTGCTTTCCTTTGATTGGTTGCATATTTTTCAGTCTCCTATTTTAATTTTTTTAAAAGAGAGAGAGGGGAGAGAGAGAGAGAGAATTTTTATTTTTTAGTTCTCGGCAGACACAACATCTTTGTTGGTATGTGGTGCTGAGGATCGAACCCGGGCCGCACGCATGCCAGGAGAGCGCGCTACCACTTGAGCCACATCCCCAGCCCCTATTTTAATTTTTTGTTTGTTTTTTAGTTAACATGACAGTAGAATGTATTTTGACATATCAAACATCCGTGGAGTATAACTATCCATTTTTATGGTTGAACATGATGGGGAGTCGTGTATTCATAAATGAACATAGGAAAGCTATGCCTGATTCATTCTACTGTTTTTCCTATTTCCATCCCCCCACCCTTCCCTTCATTCCCCTTTGTCTAATCCAGTGAACATCCATTCTTCCCCGCCCCTCCACTTATTGTGAGTTAGCATCCTCATATCAGAGAGAACATTCCGCCTTGGTTTTTGAGAATTGGCTTATTTCACTTAGGATGATAGTGTCTGGTTCCACCCATTTACCAGCAAATGCCATAATTTCACTCTTTTTTATGACTGAGTAATATTACGTTGTGCCTATGTACCACATTTTCTTTATGCATTCATCTGTTGAAGGGCATCTAGGTTGGTTCCATAGTTTAGCTATTGTGAACTGAGCTGCTATTAACATTGATGTGGCTGCATCATTGTAATATGCTTATTTAAAATTCTTTGGGTATATACTAGGAGTGGGATAACTGGGTCAAATGGTGGTTCCATTCCAAATTTTCTGAAGAATCTCCATACTGCTTTCCAGACTGGTTGCACTAATTTGCAGTTCTATCAGTAATGTATGAATGCACCTTTTTTTGTTACATCCTCACCAAAACTTATTGTTACTTGTATTCTTGATAATTATCATTCTGACTAGAGTGAGATGAAATCTCAATGCAGTTTTAATTTAAACTTCTCTGATTGCTAGAGATGTTGAACATTTTTTCATAGATTTGTTGATGGATCATATTTCTTCTGTGAAGTGTCTGTTTAGTTCCTTTGTCTATTTATTGATTGGTGTTTTAGTCAGCTTTTTTACTGCTGTGACTACAAGACCCAACCAGAGCAACTGCAGAGGAGGAAAAATTTATTTGAGGGTTCACATTTTCAGAGGTCTCAAGCCACAGGCAGCAGGCTCCATTCCTTGGAGCATGAGATGAGGCAGAACATAATGGAGAAAGAGTGTCATGGAAAGAAGCAGCTTACATGATGATCAGCAAGGCGGGGGGCGGGGGAGAGAGACATCTCCACTAGCCAGATACAA